ATTGTTCTTCTACTGAACAACATCATCAGTAGCACAAACTTCCGATAGAAGAAGTGAAGCACATTCGAATTTCTACATGTTTGACCTGTAGCTTGTACCTCGATCTTGAAATTATCAATGCAAATCCCATAGTGGTAGAGGTGTGGTGCGAGCTACTTGTAAATTATATATGACGTGAGTGTCAACGTAATGTCTGGCAGCAGAAGATGGGGGAAGATCAAGACAAAGGAAGAGTTAGAAAACAATGGAATTTGTATGAAACGCATAAATAGTGACAATAGATTGATGTTTTGCAACAGGAACAGTCCAGTTCGATATGATGATGAACTGATATTTTGCAAATGAACGATTTACGATATGGTTTTCCGATTTCACTGAGTAACTCTGTAATTTTCGTCAAATACAATTTGGTTGTCCTCACCTGTGTTCTCGTTCACTACAGAGGTAGCAGAAGTATTGTCAGTAATACAGAAGATTAGGATTAGAATATATTATTCAAGGAGTAAAGTCTAGTGAAATACACTTAAAAGATAAAGGTGATGCGGAATTCAGAAGGCCAGAATTTGAGAGAAGGCACCTACGTCAATGCAAGTAATTTTGAGCCAAGTTATTCACAGTGCCTAAACATCGGTTACTGCTGTTTTGTGGACGCCAACCTGGTAGTCTACACCTACACTAATAGAAATTTTTAATTTGGTTGAATTTCGTATATTTCTCTTTGAACTAAATATCACTTTTTGTACATGTATGTATCTTGTCCTATCAAAAACAGAAGAATATATCAATAAAGTTGGGACTGTTTGTATCTGTATGAAACAGCGATAATGGCCAGTTGTTGTTTACAAGAATTTCTATACTAGTCATAAGATTGTAGTATCAATCTTAAACAAACTTGATGCGATGAAAATTCATAACTCTTTTTTTTGCTATTTTCCACTCTTACAAACTAAATGTTGAACATGATGTGGGACGATCTTCTTGAATTTCTGAAAGGATAATATTACCATAGGTAGAATAATTTTTCCATTCATCAGTATGGTTTTGATGATGATGTTGTCATTTGAAAGTCTCTTAGTGTTGTATAATAGTGCGATCAATCTTGAAATATATGACTAGTTCGTATAGAAGAACCTTCGGGTCTACTGCCGGTCCCAAGCCCGGATAAAGGAGGAGGGTTGGACATGGGGTTGGCGACCCCATTCCGTCGAAATCTAACTTGCCAAAAAAACGCTAACCTGAAAAAAAAAGTAAGTTACTTACTTAGGGATGTGAACCCAGGTGAAGTATAAAGTTACCCATTAGGATTCATTCTCCAGCCAACTATGTCCTTCGCTCTCTATCCCAGTTCTTTCCAAGTGTTATTCATTATTTTGATGTCTTACTCCTATGGCTGTTGAAATCTATTCGTCAACTTTTTTTATTTTCCAAACTGCTTTGAGTATTCCAAATTACAATTCATATTGTGGTACACAGTTTGGCGATTTTCACATTATTTGTCTTATCCACCTAGAAAGTTTTTGCCTAATTTCCTTCCTTTTTAGTTGGAATCTGGTTTGTTCTCTCTGTCACAGTGGGTTGTTATTGTTACGCTCGTTTCTAGGTATGCCTAAAACTATTACACGAGTTCACCTTAGTCGAATGAATAACGAGAACAAACAATGAACCAGAGTCCAGGTAGGCTATTGTGATCCCTTGACCAAAAGGTATCAGTAAGAAGTCTTGATATGGTGTAGAGAGTGTATTCTACAAACACCCAGCAAGCACACAATTAATCCGAGCACTCAAATTACGTTTATTTATACTCTATTGAGACGTCCTAGGGACAGTCACAAAAATAGTACATTAAAATGACATAGTAACCAATCACAGCCAAGGATTTTCTTGGTGGGAAATGTGATCTCAAGGTCGACTGATCAGTCCATGAAATAAATCCAAAATAAAGATATTTATATCAAGCGAGTTCTAGGGATCTAACATCCTCAATAGTTATTGACAATTGTTTTAATTTTCAAGTGTTTTTTTTATTATTAGGAGTGCCACTCCTTGTTTTACCAATCTGTGCCTTTGTATTTATTAATCAGGTCCTTTTGTTTGTCAATAGTGGTGTTGTGTTATCTTCTACAGACGTTTCTTACAAATTAGGATTTGGTTGGTGTTTTCTGTGTAGTTGCTAAAAAAAAATGTTATGCTCGTCAGTTGATATGCTTGAAATTATTACGAGTTCATCTTAGTCAGTAAATGAGAACGAGACAATGAACTAGTGAGTGACACCGTAGGCTACTCTGATATGTTACCCCAACTAATTGTAGAAAAAAAGTGTTGATATAGCGTAGAGAGTGTATTCTACAAACACCCGGCAAGCACAACGATCTCAAGAATACAAATCGCGTTTATTTATACATCATAATAATGTCCTTGGGAGACTCACAAAAATATCACACTTAAATAACACATCAACCAATCGCCGCTAAGGATTTTCTAGGTGAGAGATGTGATCTCAAGGTCAATTGATCAGCTCATGAATAAAATCCAAAATTAACGCTTTTATAAAGTGAGTTCTTGGTATCTAACTTCTCCAACAAAACAAAAACTAGGAAAATTGTTAATACTGAATGGTGATTCGGTCGATCTGTGTGAACTGACATATAAACTCCTTTACCAGGTACTTCTTCTATATAGCCTGTAGTTGTAAGCTATTATTGAGTGAACACGTTTAACGGATAATAGGTTCTTGATTGAAAGAATAAATTCTGAATTTGAGTCTCACTATGAGCATTAATAAAATTCAGATACGTGCCAAAAAGCAAATCTTAAAATGAACGAAACACAATTAGCTGAAGTTTTAAAATTATAGTCTAGTCGTATAAACGGATTTCATGCTCAGTATTTCTCAGATGTTTACTTTTCTTCGTGTGTGACACTGAATTAATTTAGAATCTGGATAGTTATGATTTTTTTTATTAGAAAATTATAGAGATCTATGTTTTACACTACTGGAAACGTGGGTGGAAACATTGGACGGCCATTTTGTTCTGGTTTAGGACTCATCAGCAATGTAGATACATCCATGACACACTCTTTCCATAGGAATCGAACCTAGGACCATTCAGCCTTGCACGTGAACGCCTAACCTCTGGACCAATGATCCAACATCCACTCGTATCGATGTCTAACTCTGATCAATCTAGGGATTTCCCAATACCTCACCCATTCTGTCTTTGATAGTTACTGCCTACACCCCATATGGTAGACCTTCACTGGTCATGTCTTCTCACTAGAACTCCGAAAATTTCTTCACGAAGCTAGTCAATAGTGAGCGCACTTTATAACTTTTCATCATGGAGATCGTTGTTTTACATAGAAATCGTGAATCGGAGTTTGACATTAACACCATGGGATATCAGCCAAGTTGTTCCGAAATAATGTGTTCACACGCAAGACCAAAGGTCCTAGGTTCGGTTCCTGTGAGTAGCGGGGATCGCAGATGCACACTGCTGATAAGTTCCACACCAGGACAAAAAGGCCGTCAAGTGCATGCAGGTTTCTAATAGTGGTTTAACGGTGATTGATTCACGATTTCAATAGTTATGATTCCGATGAAGCTTATTATTCCAATACTATTTCAGTGATTAATATTGAATTTTCAGGTAATCACGAAAAAATTTAACTTCTGTATTTGTTTCAACTTTCTTTACAGAATAATAATGTGTAGTCAGTTAATCGAACTACTTAGATTGTAACCATTCACTTGAATTATTAGAGTCTGATGTAAAATAACTTGTCTTATGACACGATGAATAGAGTTTAGATTAGAAATTCTCAACACACATCGATTTCTTAAATAATTTTAAACTGATATAATTTGTAATCGGATTCATTAACTTTTCAAATGTTAACTTTTAACAAATAACAAAGTTTTAATAGAACAAGCCCTTCTAAGCTAACCAGAAAAATAGTTCTTTATTCGGTGGCCTATTATGCTCTATTAGGGGTAACATTCATTTGTGATACAAGCAAATTTTTAGTTGCTGCTTACGCACACTCTTTTAGTCTTCAGCATACATATTCTGATCGAAGAATATTCATTTCAGTCTTCAGATACTCCTTTCCGGTAATAACTACCTATGCAACGCTATGCTGTATACAAACTACTATTTACATTCAACTTTGTGATTAGATAGCAGATCAATAGATGAAGTGGTGACACTTCATCAGTTGAGATGGTTGGGACATGTGTTACGAATGCCTAACCACCGACTGCCTCGACGAGCTATGTTTTGTCGTGTAGGAGTAGGTTGGAAGAAAGTTAGGGGCGGTCAGACCAAAATATGGCAGAAACCCATGAAGTCACTGACAAGTGGACTGAGTCATGTTGGTAGATGTAGACTACCTGGTTGGGGTCCGCGGGACGAAAGTCACCAATGGTTAGAGACCTTGAATGACATGGCTCAAAATCGTTTGCGATGGCGCCGGTGCATTTATTCGTTGAGCTCTCTCAAATCCTAATCTTCTGGATTCGTCAGCACCTCCACCTTTGTCTTTCTAACCTTATCTGACTGAATTATATTTCTTGAATAATATCTTCGAACCCTAATCTCTTCATTAACATTAATACGTCTACTATCTCTACTATCACTATGGGATTTGATTTGACATTTGTGTCTCTGTGTGCTAATGTGGTATGGCAACATGAACTTATGTACATACGTACGAAGTTCCACGTTGCAACTGATTGACTAATTGACTTGTGAGTAGAACTCATCATCACACTAGGAATACGATCAAATTGGTTTTTTTCAATGCTTCACATTAATTATCATTTGAATGTTTCACAATTTTCATGTCTGTTAATGAATGGTATATATATAAACAAATCATTGATTAGTTTCGTTAAATATTCCAATAAAAGTTATTGTATATAGAAATATACTTTTATTGTTTCTAATTTTTCTTCTCATAAACAATCACTACTTTTCTTATTTAATCTTCAATTAAAACAGGTGGTATTGTATCATTTTGTTCAGAGCCTGAAACAATTTGTACAGTATTTCGTCCATGTTGTGGAAGAGATTGGGTATGTAATCGTAAAAGTTCCGCTACTGGGAAATGTGTTCAATGTGCACAAGCTAATCGACCGTGTATTCATGCAAATGATTGTTGTCGTGGTGTATGTATTAAAGGTTCATGTAAATTAATGAGATTTTTTGGTGAAGAATAATTGAATAATTGAATGATTGTTTGAATGAATGATTGAATAATTGAATGAATGAACAAAGCATTAACAACAAAGCATCTTTTTTCTCATTTACACACAGATTAGATTTTATTTCTTTGCATTTTTTTTTGTTTTTGGTCAGAAAAAAAAATTTATGGATAATAAAAAAAGAAAAACATATTTATATTTAAACAAATAGATCTTTGTTTCAATAGTTTTTTCAATGTTCAATTAAATGATCTAGTCATATTGATGAAATGAAAACGTAAATTCTTTGTAGAATAGATTAGAATGTGATTAGTCAGTCAGTCAGATGCAACGTAGAACTTCCTTCGTACATAAGTACATCAGTTCATGTCGCCATACCACATCAGCACACGGATATAATTGTCAATTCAAATCCAATAGTAGAAGAGGTAGTAAAGGTATGAGAAGTAATCGGAGCGGTTAGGATGAGAAGATATTATTCAAAAGCCAGTCTAGCCCATATATCTGTGCTGAGATTTCGTCAGTCACCAGACCATCAACACTGATGAGACTCCATAGATGAGTGAAGCGGTCGACTCCCTCAACCGCTTCACTTCAGGTGCCGATGACACCCAATCTTGAAGTAATATATTGCATTTCGACGGGGAGAACCACATCCCGAACATGCTTGCATTGTTGCTTAAGGCAGTCAGTAGATTCTGCATTTTGTCAGCGTCTTCACTGAATAGAATGTCATCGGCATATTCTAAGTCAACAAGCGAGATTCCTAGTACGTCTACTCCTGGAAATTCAGACGAAGATGATGTTATTTTGTGAAAGCATGTCTATGAAGAAGTTAAACAAGAATAGAGAAGAGTTGGCAACCCTGTCAGGCACCACCTGAAGTAATGAGTTTCGATTATACAGTTATCCACGCATAAGCTCTGAATCGGTTCATTAGTGTTCGAGTACATATCTAGAACAAAGTTAATGTACTTTTCCAGTACTCGTTTCAATGACAGAGCGTCAAATGCCTTCTTAAGACGGTCGAGAAATACTACTTACTATTTTGTGACGTCTAAACGTATTTCTCTGTTCAAGGAGCTGACGGAGAATAAAATACATATGGTCTATACATCCACACATCTATGTTTAAACCCACTTCGATTTTTTCAAGTCTATGCTCTTCACGCAATCTAGTTCGGCATTGAAGTATTCATAATAAACTATCGTGAAGAATCGCGTCCCACGCTTACGGAAACAAAAAAATTCAGACCGAATTAAATAAATAGATTGATTAAATTTCAAGTTGTTCATTGTACTAGTTAGTTGGTTGGTTGATCGGAGAGGTTAAATATAAAATGATGCTTACAATTTTTTGACCAAGATCAACCAACTTCAATAAGTGCTTTTCATGACTAAAACAACAACATTCGTATCGATTTTTAAATTTTAAAAAAATCAACTATCTTCACAACCCCGCAATGCAAAAATTACCTGTGCTCACTAGTGACTAGCTTCGTGAGGAATCTTCTCCGAGTTCTAGTGGGAAGACGTGACCACTGTGAAGTTTAACCTGTTCGGATGTAGGTAGTATCTACCGAAGACTGTGTATGAGGTTGCGCAACTCCGTGAATTTGATCAAGTTAGACATTAACACCATTAGATACCGGCTCAGTGATCTAACGGTTAGGGCGTTCGCGCACAATACCGAAGGTCCTGGGTTCGAATCCTGCGGGGTGCAGGAGTCGTGGATGCGCACTGCCACAGATGAGTCCCATACCAGGACGAAACGGCCGTCCAGTGCTTCCAGATCGATCCATGGTTTCAAAAAAATGTGTAACTATTTATTTGTAGAAAAAAATTTTATTTTGTAAAATAGAAAAAAATTGTATTAGAAAAATGATTTCTTCTGTCAGGTAAAAAAAAAAGCACAAACATTCGGGAAAAAAAAAGACAATAAACTTCACAAAATAAGATTAAGAATAAGAAGAATAAAGAAACGAGTAAATGATGCCTAAACAATAAAAAAAAATTGATGAGTGTACACACACAATTGTAAGCAAGTAAGTAAATAAATAAGTAAGTAAGTAAGTAAGTAAGCCTTTCCTTTCAAAAAACACTGAACTTACACCTCATAGGGGGGGAGCAAAGAGAAAAAAGGACAATACAAGACAAAACCTTGAATAAACAAGAAAGCAATAAGCAAAGCAAAACGCAAAGTGTTTCTCATTGCATCGAAGAGTTAAGCAATAAAAAAATTGTTGTCGGTGCTGTTGTTGTTGCTGTTGTGATGATGTCATCCGGGTTCGGTGTCTCTGATGATTGACACGTAAACAACGAACTGATCATTTATTTGTTTTTCTTTTGTGAGTACTTGTTTCAACGGTGGTGGTGGTGGTGGTTGTGGCTGTTGTTGTTGTGTTGACATTGGTGTTGTACATCGGGATGTTGGTTTTAGCTTTAACAAAAGAAATAAGAGTACACACATATAGGGAAAATAACAATTACAGGCACACAGGCACACACACACATACATACATACAAAGGAAAAATATATGTTTTGAAAATAAAATCTGTTATAACAATGCATCATACTACATTTGAGTTTGTTAGACAATGTTAAATTTGGTTATAAGCCCCCTTTTGATTAATTTATTTAAGAAACAGCACTAGGTAAGGATGGCAGATCAACAGATGATGTAGTGATACGTCATCAGTTGAAGTGGTTAGGATATGTGTTATGAATGCCCGACCGCCGACTGCCTCGACGAGCTGTGTTTTGTGGTGTAGGAATAGGTTGGAAGAAAGCTAGAGGCGGTCAGACCAAAACATGGCAGAAATCCATGAAGTCACTGACAAGTGGACTGAGTCATGCTGGTAGATGTAGACTACCTGATTGTGGGGTGCGTGAGACGAATATCACCAATAGTTAGAGACTTTGAACGACATGGCTCAAAATCATTTGCAATGCCGCAAGTGCAGTACACTCAATCCTTTGGTCAGCTAACGAATATCTCTCCAACGACGCTATAGGTGACGCAACTTGGCAAAATCCAATCAAGCTTCCTGTAACCGCGCTGAGATTTCATCATTCATCAGACCATCAACGGTCGACAAGCTCGACTAATTCACTCTCTATCACTAGTTAAGGTGTCGATGCAACCCAATTCCTGTTAACCTCTATCTCTCGATTGACTGGTAATGACCATGTAAATCTGTCACTGTGTACCGCTTTATTTTGATTGTATCTCACTTTGATTTAGTTCTCCTATCCTATACTTGTTTTGTTTTAGGAAAGTTTACATTGATTAAAAATATTGAATTGTGTTATCTAATATAATCCAATCAACCTTAATAACTAATGTGCGTCCTATACTCATTTTCCAAATATAATTACTGTTATTTAGTGATTGGGACTCAACCATAATATATATATATATATATATATATATATATATATATATATGTTGAGTGCCCTCGATAATTCCCTGAAAAAAAAACTGGGAAATACTCTGAAAAATCAAGAATGTAATTGTAACTTCTCAAAAAAAAAACAATAGATTATGAATAAATTGATATTACGTTATTAAATTTAGTCTCAATTCTGTTTATCTAAAGTAACTTTAAAACAATAGCTTATTATCATAGTTCGCGCAACATGTTTTAATCACCTCCTCTATTCGAACGTTGCGTTATTAATTTCTGAATGACTACTTACTTACCTTACTTATCTACACCTGTTATCCCTAATGGCGTATAGGCCGCCGATTTCTACAGGACAGGGAGCCACTTATCGCCCCCTATGCCCAATACTCCTCCTCCTCTTGTATCTGGGACTGGAGGCAATAACCCTAGAAAAGGGCTCAGGTTGGAGTCTTTGGAAGACTTAAGTAATGAGATTATCAATTCAATCAACAACATATACTCAAACAAACATCAAAATGAGCCCCCGCCAGCCGCCGGCAACATGAAACAACTTACATGAATTCGTTTTTTGTTTCATCAATGATGATGATGATGATGATGAAGTATCATTATGATGAATTGATGGCGGTCTTTTGTTGTTGTTCATGGAATTCAACGATGAGTGTTTTTCACAGTGTTCACTTGTCGTTGTTGTTGTTGTTGTTGTTGTGGATAAAACTGTCTTGCCATCTTTTGAATTAACACTATGATTGTTCAATGTAGTAGTAGTTGGAGTAGTCGGAGTATTGTAAGATTTTCTATTAATTGGCGTGACATTAATCAAACCTAAATGACTTTGATGTTTTGTAGTAGACGTGGAGGAGAACGATGATGTTGATGATGATGATATTTTTGAATTGGATAGCGCTGTATTGACGGGATTGATTCTTATTGGTGTACTATTACCAAAATGGTGATTAGTTTTATGAGTAACTATTTATAGGAAGGAGAAAAAGAAATTAGTTTATTTTATAAACTTTTAAATTAATTCACTGACGATTAAAAAAAACACACCTGAAATAATAATTTTTTGATTTAAAAATTTTATTGAGAGTATGATAATACATTGAAGTCAGTCAGTCTGTTAGTCAGAACTTCATACGTACGTACATCAGTTCGAGTTGTCATACCACACATTAGCACAAACAGAGACGATTGTCAATTCTAATCCCATAGTAGTAGAGGTGTGGTGTGAGCTACTTATAAGTAGTATATGACGTGAGTGTCAACGTAATATCTGGCAACTGAAGATGGGGGGGGGGAAGATCAAGAAAGGAAGAGCGGGAACACAATGGAATTTGTATGAAACGCATGAATAGTAGTGACAATGGATTGATGTTTTGCAACAGGAACAGTCCAGTTCGGTATGATGATGAACTGATGTTTTGCAAAGGAACAATTTACGATATGGTTTTCCAATTTTACTGAGTAACTCTGTAATTTTCGTTAAATACAATTCGGTTGCCCCACCTGTGTTCTCGTTCACTACACAGGTAGCACAAGTATTAGCAGTAACCGGAGAAGATTAGGGTTCGAAGATATTATTCAAGAAGTATCATTCAGTGAAATCAATTTAAAGAAAGATACAGGTGATGAGGAGTTCGGGAGACTAGATTAGTATTTGAAAAAGCACAAAGAATGGATGCACCTGTGCCACTGCAAACGATTTTAAACCATTTCATTAAAAGTCTCTAACCATTGATAAACTAAAGTCTTGTGCACCCCAACCACGTACGTAGTCTGCACCTACCAACATGGTTCAGTCATTCAAGTTGTCAATTCCTCCACTGATTTGTGTATAATTTATAGAATGAACTAATCAGATCTACAATAATTGATCTTGGATTTTAATGTGGCATTCATTAGGGCAGATAACTAAACAGTAAACCAATTCATGATGAAATCGCCTTAATTCTAGGCTGTAAGCCTATTCTTTTAACTGTAAATCCTAGTTTTAGTGCGCCTTACACCAATTAATAATTAGATGTTAGACTACGATTAGGAACTTGGAAGCAGTGGATAGCCATTTCGTCCGTAGTATGCGACTCAACAGTAATAGTGCGCATCCACAACCCTTACTTGCAGGAATCGAACCCAGGATTGTCGGTGTCATGTGCCAACGCTTAACGTTTTGACCATTAAGCCAATAATCTAACGGTGTGAATGTCTAACGTTAATCAGTTCACGGTCATATACGCAACCTCACACATTGTCTTCGATTGGTAATTTTCCTTTTTGAAAGTCGTGAGTGCACACTACTGACTGATGAGTACCATACTAGGAAGGAACGGCTGTTCAGAGCTTCCAGGTTCTTAATGGCGACCTAACAGTGATCAATTCATAATTCTAATGAGATAAATTATATGCTTGAGAATAGTTTTGAGATTCATTGTACAAATTTAATTCAAATCTAAGCTTATGTAACTTTAAAAATATCTTGACAATCTTTTCCAAATATTTAGTGCAACTACCTTCACAAAAATTGGACATCTGTAAAAGTTACAATAAGCCTAGAATTAACAAGACTGTTTCTAAAAACACACAAATGAATCCTATTTTCTTTGTAGTTAAATAATTACAAGAAGCCTAGGATCACTTCATTTTGTTTTATTGTTTTAGTACGGGACTAGTTAATAAAACGTAACCACCATAAACCAAAATCAGAGATTGAATCACGGGGCATTCTGACCTCATACAAAGTAATTTATTCTCTGATCAGTAAAGCTGCTGATATTCAGTAATTCACATCAGTTACTTTTTGGGTCAATTCACAACATCATCAACAACATCATCATGAACTTACCAAGAATTACATAGATATCATGAATTGATCGATGTTACACCAGCATTAGAAACCTCGAGCTACTCACTGGACTACCGTATCATCCTTATTGTAGGGGACTCATTAATAGTGTACACCCACCGCACCACAAAATACGGCTTCTAGCTTTCCAGTCAGTGGTCTAAGCATTGATCGATTCACGATTTCAATGAAACCTAACAATCTGCACAACCTCCTAACGACTATGAACAAGAACCGACATGGATTGATTGATTGATCATCGATCATCACAACTACACAGTATTTAAAGGATCATGTTTACAAATTTTATCTTGTAGTGAGTGATAATTCAATGTCTAGCTCACATGACTTGTCCCACATATCTGTCTTATTTTTTTCATGCTTTATCTCTCGGACTTGGCTCACTAACCTTCTCCCGTTCGCGCATTCACCACTAGTCGAGTGAGAGCTAATGGCGAACTGTCACCGGAATTCTTTACTTCAAGTGGTGTCCGTCAGGGATGTCCACTTTCTCCATTCTTGTTTAATTTTATCATATACATGCTGCTAGAAATAATCTTATCCTCGTCTGAATTTTCAGGAGTAGACCTTTAACCTGCTGGCTCGCTTATTGACTTAGAATATGCCGATGATATTGTCCTACTTGGTGAAGACGCTGATCAAATGCAGAGTATTCTGACTACCATAAGCAACAACACAAGCATGTTCGGAATGCGGTTCTCATCCTCGAAACGCAAAATGTTGCTTGAAGACTGGGTTGCATAGGCACCTGAACTAGTGATGGGGAGTGAAGTAGTCGAACGGGTCGACCGCTTCACTTATCTGGGGAGTCTCATCAGTGCTGATGGCCTGGTGACTGACGAAATCTCAGCTCGGATACAGAAGGCTCGACTGGCTTTTTCCAACCTGCGTCACTTATGGCGTAAGTGAGATATCCGTTCGCTAACCAAAGGACGAGTGTACTGTGCAGTGGTCCGCTCTCTCTTACTTTATGGCTATGAAGCATGACCAGTGAGAGAAGAAGATATTCGTAGGTTACTGGTTTTCGATCATAGGTGTCTTCGAAGCATTGCTCTTACATCCTGGGACAACCGAGTGAGCAACGCTGTTATTAGGAATCGGGTGCTAGGTAAGAATGGCAGATCAATAAATGAAGTATTAAAAACTTCATCAGTTGAGGTGGTTGGGACATGTGCTGCGTATGACTAACCACCGACTGCCTCGACGAGCTTTGTTTTGTAATGTAGGATTGGGTTGTAATATAGTTAGGGGCGGTCAAGCAAAAACATGGCAGAAATCCATGAAGTCATTGACGAGTGGACTGAGTCATGTCGGTAGTTGTCGACTACCTGGTTGGGGTCCGCGAGACGTTAGTCACCAATGATTAGATACCCTGAATGACATGGCTCAAAATCGTTCGCAATGGCGCCGGTGCATTTATTCTTTGTGTTCTCTCAAATCTTAATCTTCTGGATTCTTCAACACCTCCGGTTTTCTCTTTCTAAACTTTTCTCACTGAATCATACTTCTTGAATAATATCTTGTAATCCTAACCTCTCCGATTACTTCTAATACCTTTACTGGCTCGACTACTATTGGATTTGAATTGACAATTATATCTCTGTGCTGATGTGGTATGGCAATATGAACTGATTTACTTACGTACGAAGGAAGTTCTACGTTGCAACTGACTGACTGACTGACTCACTGCATTCGCCAGCTAGTGTGCCTGTGCCCTATCTGCTTGTTGTCCACTATCCCATTTTTTTGTGGTGTGCTAAAAATAAATAAACGAATTTGAACACTTCGGTATTTGCTTTCCGACGTTATTTAGTGCTGACTGCGTGGACGAACGGATTACGAGGTTTAAGAACACGTTGAAATTAGATCATCACAGTGTGAATTTAGTTTGAATGAATATAAATATCTTTAAATTAAACCATTTCGATTATTATTATTATTATTATTATTATTATTATTATTAATATTATTATTGGCATTTGAATTTGTATATAAACAATGAATCAGTATGACTGAATGGAAAAAAAAGTTTCTATGACTCAGTGTATTTATTCATGACGATATTTTAGTCATAGTGTAAATAAACACACACATAAAAAATGAATTAAATTTTTTTTGTCAGTTTAATTTTTACTACTTACTATTAATGCCAAATTGAATGTCAAATTGAATTTGATGTGTACGTATACGTGTACGTGTAGTTAGTTAATTAGTTTGTAGTCAGTTGTCTCAGTGTTATGCTAACCTTTTTTTTTGATTTTTTGTTGAAAATCAAAAACACTTCCACACTATTTAAACATACAAGATAACGTTTGATTACTAACA